TGGTAAATAATGTTAGCAGATTCGAACAAAATGCTGTCGTTGTTCCGATTTCGTCATATCAGTACAGACACGAACAAAGTACAGAAAATTCAATCGAATAATTTTTAAAATTTTCTTTAAAGAGTTATTCTGAGCTCATCTTTCAGTGGACCATTTATTTGATGCACAGTTTTGAAACCGAAGGATAAATCAAATATGGAAATGTGTTGTTTAGCCGTTTGCATGTTTCAGTGCCAACCCCGGTGGCGTTAGGACTTAATGATAATAGTTTTTGAAACTTTGTCGATTGTGGGCGAGGAACTGAGCGTGGCTTGAATTTAATAATTTTTCGCTTGAGCCTAATTACGAATATAATACTCCTCTGAAAACTTTTATTACGGAGCATCCTCTAGGTTCCATACAGCAACTTATATCACGTTATAGACATTGTCTAATTCGAGAATTTACTAGCTGTTGTATTTTGTCATTCGATTCAGTTTATCAGTTGTCATTCGACAGACCTCTCAGTGTCTTTCCTTTTTCAAATCTCGCTGGTAAGTTACAGTTACCGAGCTGAACGCTAATACTAGTGTTAGTTGAACGCACTTCGTTTGAAGTTTGAGGTTATGGCATAAGTTAAGCGAAAATGTTTGCCTCACTTCTCTGAGTTGTTAAATTCAGCACTAAGCACTGGCCCAAATGCAAATTATGACGCCAGCTATTAGTCTGAATGGCAGCCATTGCAACGAAAGTAGTGTTGAACTTTTGGTTTCCGTTTCTCTTCTCTCTTGGTAATAGGTATTGGATAAGGTATTTTGCACGTTATAACTGGGTAGAAAAGTGGTTAGGAATGACTATTTCCAGCGTGTGCATAATTATCGAGAAATATTGTTGCCGGAAATTGACTGTTTTCATCATAAAGGTATAAATAAGGTCAAAGAAACGGAAAAAGGATGACTTGCTTGTCGTATCACTCGATAACGACTAAGAAAAGGTTATGATCAAGCAATGTTATAAAGGAAGTACGATTCAGCAGATTTTCCAAGTTTAATTGACAAGTAAAGCTAGGAAGGAACGGCAGTCCATGCTCTAACTGCTCATACAGTTCTGCGAAAGGTGGAATCACATAGTTACTGAAGGCAAGTTTTCTCCAAACAAGTGGTATTCGAACATCCTGCCAACAGCTAACTTCTGTAATAAAGAAAAACCACGTTGTTATGTGAAGCGACACGAAATCGTTATGTCGCTACGTGCCATTATTCCAGCTTATGGAACAGTGAATTTGCAAAGCAAGCAGATGCGCCTTTTGCTGAAACGCACTGCCAACAGGATGAAGCGTTGATTTATGAAAAGTATCTTGTGGTTTCCATGGACGTCGTAGCGCTTTCCAAGAACATTCACGTCAGGGTCTTGCTGACATTCGCGCTGGCATTTTAAAAAGTAAAAGGAACTGCTGGAATACGTCTGAAAATGTCGACAGAATTCGGTGACCAAATACATCTATTTTTCACCTTTTCGTGTCTTCACCTTGTTGTCAGAAACCAGTTGCACATATAAGAAATATCATCAGTCTTGTGAAGTACATTGCGCTTACTGATGAACGTTATTTTAGCGAAGCTTTCTTTAGATTCCTGGAGAATAAACTCCACTAGCGAGTTCTTTTCTGATACCCCAGGCTCAGTCCATTTCATTTCAACCGAAGCTTTCAACAACCGCCATGAGTATTCTACCTTTAAACAGCATCCAGGACAGCTATCATCACGTCTGTGTTGTCATGAAATGTCCTTTTTGTTTTGCTCTTACAATCGTTCTCAGAAGATCGTGCTTCCGATTTGATTCTTGAGTTCTTTTATCGTCGGGTCTTCGGATGGTA